GTTGGGTTGGGTTGGGTTGGGATGGGATTATGTGATAAGTTATGTTGGACTGTGCTTTATTGAGTGGATTTTTATTGTTTGTTTTCAGGTAAGAGCTGAGGTAGTTGCCCTGAAGACCAACACCCAGGATAAGAATATACCTCGTAGTGTTATAAACCAGATAGATGACAAGATGACCGCTACTCATAATATTCCACACAGGTTAGTATTGTTATAAACCAGATAGATGACAAGATGACCGCTACTCGCGCATATTTGACCTCCCCTAGATTTATTTTTGTATACGCCCTTGATGAAACATGAAATGAAATGAAACTTGTAACAAGATGAAGCTTGTAACACGATGAAACTTGTATCAAGATGAAATTTGTAACAAGATGAAACTTGTATCAAGATGAAACATGTAACATAACACGATGAAACTTGTAACAAGATGAAACGAGTAACAAAATAAAAAAAATTCAGACTGCATCAGGGGGCAAACAAGAAGAGTTCAAGATGTCCTGTTTGCCAAGATACTGTTGGATTTATGATGTTAGCTCAAATATGCAAGTAAGTTCAGACTCGTGTTAGTATTATAAAGATCCGGAATATTTAATTTTTTGGATCCGGATCCGCGCAAATTTGTGGATATAGGCTATCCAGTTCCAACTGTCAAGTACCAACAAAATTAAATCACGTGGAATAATGGGAAATCGTTAAAATTCCTCAATCTCTCTTTGGTCGATCAAATTTTATAATGAAAAACCACGAGAATAAAAGAGGAAGTATTCTAGACTAGAATATCAACCTTAATCCGGATCCTTCTAAAAGTACTGATCTACGATCTACATTAGTTTTTTATAAGAGATCTTCATGTTTACTTATGTTTAATTCTTACGTTAAAGGATTAATGGAGTTTAAATTCTTGTCACTTAAATCTTTATGTCTAGGGATTGTGAAGTATCTAATATGTTCTTTATATATAGGGATTGTGAAGTATCTAATATGATCTTTATATCTAAGGATTGTCAAATATCTAGTATAATCCTTGTATTTAGGGATTGTGAAGTATTTTATATGATCCTTATATCTAGGGATTGTGAAGTATCTAATATACGCCTTATATCTAAGGATTGTGAAGTATCTAATATGATCCTTAAATCTAGGGATTGTGAAATATCTAATATAATCCTTGACCTCATATCTAGGGATTGTGGAGTATCTAATATGATCCTTATATCTAGGGATTGTGAAATATCTAATATAGTCCTTACATCAAGGGATTGTAGAGTATCTAATACAATCCTTATATCTAGGGATTGTGAAATATCTAATATAATCCTGATATCTAGGGATTGTGGAGTATCTAATATAATCCTTTTATATAGGGATTTTGAAATATCTCATGTAATCCTTATATCCCATGGATTGTGAAATATCTAATATAAGCCTTTTATCTCGGGTGTGAATTATCTAATATAATGCTTATATCTAGGGATTGTGAAATAACTATTATAATCCTTATATATATATATAGGGATTGTGGAGTATCTTATATAATTCTGATATCTAGGGATTGTGGGAGTATCTAATATAATCCGTATATCAAGGGATTGTGGAGTATCTAATATAATCCATGTATTTAGGGATTGTGAAAGATCTAATATAATCCTTTTATCTAGGGTGTGAAGTATTTAATATAATCCTTATATCTAGGGATTGTGAAATATCTAAAAACATGAAGTTGTAATCTCGGTTTGTTTGTTTGTGTGTCCGATCACAACTCAGGAAACAATGTACCGATTTGCCTCAAATTTTTATTGGGGAACTCGGGAGACCCACGGAATTGTTCTTAGGTTTGGATTTGAGATTCTAAGTTGAGTGGGTCTACTTTTAACGGGAAAAAAAGCTTAAATCGTACTTTACGACAAGGGTCGGGTAAACGGTGGGACTAATATGACTTCCCCTGGGGTCCCAAGCTAGTCTGGTATAACATTTATATTTAGGGATTGTGGAGTATCTTCCCTTGGAGTCCCAAGCTAGTCTGATATAGCACTTATATTTAGATATTGTGGAGTATCTTCCCTTGGAGTCCCAAGCTAGTCTGATATAACACTTATATTTAGGGATTGTGGAGTATCTTCCTTTGGAGTCCCAAGCTAGTCTGATACAACACTTATATTTAGGGATTGTGGAGTATCTTCCCTTGGAGTCCCAAGCTAGTCTGATTCAACACTTATATTTAGGGATTGTGGAGTATCTTCCCTTGGAGTCCCAAGCTAGTCTGATATAGCACTTATATTTAGGGATTGTGGAGTATCTGTGCACAGTGGATGTTCCTCTGATCTTCCTCCAACATGCGGATTATCCGTCCAGCTGGTTTCAGCTCTTCAGGTCGGATATATGCTTGAAAAAGGGACTGTTTAGGATTTTAAAAGTATGCTTGATAATAAATCGTTAATCGGTCCAAGTATTAAAGGGACTGTTAAAGGGACAAAGAGGGCAATCTCCGATTTATAACGATACCCTTTAATTTTTTGATTGATCCAGTATGAAATAGATATCCATGTTTTTGTTTCCTTAAACTGTAACATTTTATTTGCGGTTTCTCTGCGAAAGTGACCTGCGTATTTCTCTCTCACAAGAGCAATTAGGAAATAAACAGATTCAAGTTTACCGTTGTTATTCAAGCATTGTCAATGGCCATCTTTGCATGTATGGTCAATATTGAAATTACACGAACCGTTTCTTTTAAAAAAGAACAAATCATCTAGATTTACCGGTCACTAATAATTATAAATAATTATAAGGTAGTTTTAACGACGGTTAAACCCCTACTTCATGCACGCTTGAACTGCACAGAAATAGGTTTAGAATAAAACCTTTTTGTGTAAAATTGGACAAAATAAATATTTCTTTTTTTAAGGGTGCCATGACCCCAAGGTCTCGGGCAAACTCCAGTTCTCGTGCCCGGTCATCATCAGAGTCTAGAGCAAACAAGGACCGCCCTCTGCCCATACCTCCAGTAAATACAAACAAGTAATATTTTAATACATATTTTTTACAGAGCGTGTCATGTCATATTGGATTATCTCTAAGCTTTAACGTCAAAATACGAGATATAATACTCGAAACTCTGGTATTTTCTTCAAGAAATTTTTATATAAGCGTTGCGTATTTTTTTACAGAGCGTCTCATGTCATATTGGATTATCTCCAAGCTTTAACGCCAACATACGGATTTAATATTCGAAAAATCTGGTATTATCTGCAAGAAATTATATTATAAGCGTTGCATATTTTTTTACAGAGCGTCTCATGTCATATTGGATTATCTCCAAGCTTTAACGCCAACATACGGATTTAATATTCGAAAAATCTGGTATTATCTGCAAGAAATTATATTATAAGCGTTGCATATTTTTTTACAGAGCGTCTCATGTCATATTGGATTATCTCCAAGCTTTAACGCCAACATACGGATTTAATATTCGAAAAATCTGGTATTTTCTGCAATAAATTTTATTATAAGCGTTGCATGTTTTTTAAATGGTTCATTATTTTAAGATTTCCTGATTAGCCTCTTAAATCTCAATTTATAGCTAATAACAATTTAATATGATGTATATGACACCCTGTATTATAAACCCTTCCAATATATAAAGTATGAATTGTTCTCTTAAATCTCTGATTTTTAAATCCCTTTATCTTTGCAACCTGGTGTCGTAAAACCTTTGATAATTCTAGTTATGAATGCCTCTACATCTTATAAGAAAAATGAAAAATCAGGGTTACACAATCAGGTTGGAAAGATTAGGGTTGTCACTTTAATTTGTGAAACATCTTGAAAAAGTCAACTTTTTTTATTGATAAAGTATGTTAAATCTATAAATGTAGAAGCAATCTTTTCGAATGGTAGTCATGGAATTCCTCCCAAAGGGATTTCTCCCATGGGATTCCTTCCAACAGGATTCCTCCCACACGGAACCTTTCCAAATATACAAATTAATATACGTTAGAAATTTCCTTTTGCATGTTTGTTTGCTTGTCCGATCATTACTCATGACCTTTTTGTATTAGACGGGTTTGTCACATATTTTGATGGAGAATTTGGTAAAACAACGGGAATGATCGTTCTTTGGTATATGCAGTTCTTAGGATCCATTTAATTTTTTGCGGATCCGGCACCTGGATCTGCATTGGGAAAAATTTAAAAATAATTTTCTTATTTTTTTCGCTTATTTTTATGCTGCATCTCGATGACCCATTCAGCGATTAGAATTTTTTTGATTCTCTCTTGTTTATAACAGTTCAGATTTGAGTTTTTAGAGTCAATTTTTTTGCAGTTTTTGATCGATTTATTGCTCCTTGGATCCGGATTCGTGAATCCGCATATTATTGCGGATTAGGCTCCATGAAGTCCAAATGTTGCGAATCCAATGGATCCGACTGGGTTTAAAAAGATTCTAAGTTGACTGAGGTGTGCTTCATTATCATTAAGAAACTTTAATTTCTAGGCAAAACTGGGTTCCCAAGCTTGTAAAGGATATTTCAAATCAATTAATTTGTTAATCTAGGGAGGGTGAGGTGTTTGTTCTTCTCCGAGGAGATTGGGTTGAGAGTGTTCTAGTTCTAACCCTGGATAATATCTTGGATATCTACCAGGATGCTTCAAGAAATATCAGAATTGATCAGGTAAAAGTGTAAACAAAACAAAAAGTTTATTTTTTAAACTAACCGATATTTAGATTGCTCTGACTGCCCCGCACTGCCGTGTTTCAGTTCAACCATCAGTCTCATTCTCAGAGGTTTACAATACGTATATGATATAAAAATAATATGGAACAATTTTTAACAATGGAAAATAATGATATTTGGCTAACAGAGGCTGGAGAGGCGGGGGTTGGGGGGGTTTAATAAACTGATTTTGATACTGGTTTTCATATTTGACAACTATTTCGATGTTCTTTATTCTAACAGAGATCCAAACAGCTATGGAAATTGGGTATTAAATTAAATTTTCAAAATTGCATAGATATTAGTGTGTTAAAACGCCTTGCCCGTTGGGTTTACCTTAATAACTCTCTTGTACTATTTTTTTTATCCCTAGACGTATTCATTGTATATATTGTTACATTGCAACGCAGTTTTAAAAGTAGTTTTTGGGAAAATCATGATCAAATTTTACGTGAGAGCGTGCACATTTTGTTTCGCTGTGTCTGAAATACGGATCCATTTTTTATGGACGGATCAATTAAAGTTCGGGTAGGACTGGGGTGGGGGGAGGGGGGTATACAAATTTGTAAATATTAATCATCTCGTCTATTAAGGTTTATTATGTGAGTGCTAGTGACAGACCTTACACCTTCAAGCTTACTGTTCACGTTACAGGTAGATCAGATTTCGTAGATCTTTGATATTTCAAACTATGAATTCTTTTATTCCAAAAGTTTAAAATATTAACGGTGTACACCATCATGTTAAAGACAAATAGGGATTAGAAAATTTAAGTTTGTGGCAAAAGTCCGTTCCTTTATTGGAAAATATTAGAAGCAAAGTAAAACTTACAAAAGAACTTTTCTTTGAACTTAGTAAATTCATCATGTTTGTTTATGATATGTGGGCAGTAGGACGTTCCTAAAACTTTGATTAATTGATTGATTGATTGATTGAATGTTAAAAAAAACACCATTATGATATTAACATTTCAAGTGTACGTATTTGATTATTAGTTCAGTTAGACGGCATTAAGCATTAGATTTTTAACTCCTTATTTTCATTAAAATAAGTATGAGATGGTTCTAAATATTTTGTACAGAATCAATTCTTTTTTTTCTGAAGTCATTTTAAAGTAGGATATTAAATAATTAGACATTTTTAGGCAACATTTCATACTAGGGCATTTAATAAATGGACATATTTAGGTAACATTGCATACTAGGACATTTAATAAATGGACATTTTTAGGCAACATTTCATACTAGGGCATTTAATAAATGGACATATTTAGGTAACATTTCATAATAGGACAATAAATGGACATATTTAGGCAACATTTCATACTAGGACATTTAATAAATGGACATTTTTAGGCAGCATTTCATACTAGGGCATTTAATAAATGGACATATTTAGGTAACATTTCATACTAGGACAATAAATGGACATATTTAGGCAACATTTCATACTAGGACATTTAATAAATGGACATTTTTAGGCAACATTTCATACTAGTGCATTTAATAAATGGACATTTTTTGGTAACATTTCATATTAGGACATTTAATAAATGGACATTTTTAGGTAACATTGCATAGTAGGGCATTTTATAAATGGACATTTTTAGATAACATTTCATATTAGGACATTTAATAAATTGACATTTTTAGGCAACATTTCATACTAGGACATTTAATAAATGGACATTTTTAGGTAATATTGCATAGAAGGACATTTAATAAATGGACATTTTTAGGCAACATTTCATACTAGGACATTCAATAAATTGACATTTTTAGGTAACATTTCATAGTAGGACATTTTATAAATTGACATTTTTAGGCAACATTTCATACTAGGACATTTAATAAATGGACATTTTTAGGCAACATTTCATACTAGGACTTTTAATAAATGGACACATTTAGGCAACATTTCATACTAGCACATTTAATAAATGGACATTTTTAGGCAACATTTCATACTAGGACATATAATAAATGGACATTTTTAGGCAATATTTCATACTAGGACATTTAATAAATGGACATTTTTAGGTAACATTTCATACTAGGACATTTAATAAATAAGCATTTTTAGGCAATATTTCATACTAGGACATTTAATAAATGGACATTTTTAGGTAACATTTCATACTAGGAAATTTAATAAATAAGCATTTTTAGGCAATATTTCATGCTAGGACATTTAAAAAATGGACATTTTTAGGTAACAACTTATTTCCGAGTAAAAAAGGAAAATTTATTGAAGAAAAATATTAAACGATATTCGTCCTTTTCATGAAATGTGTAACCTAAAAACGTCCTATTAATGTAACTTCCCATTAGTATGCTGTCCCAAAAATGCAACAAAAAATGTAATATTTTTACATGTTTAATGTTCATTGGTGAACCCGGCATACATTTATGCATTGAAATCTAAATAATATGTTGAAATATTTTATTTAGGGAAGAGTGAAAAGGCAGTTTATCTAATGTGCAAAAACTTTGCACAGAAAGTAGAATGGGTCAATCGTCTAGAAGAGGTGAGAACTGTTCTCATTAACTGGTCTAATGCACGAAACGTCTAAGCGCCTTATCGTAGAACTAAACACTAAAACGTTATAAAACACAGAACGTCCCATATCATATTAAATTATCTCCAAGCTTCAACGCCAAAATACAACCATAATACTCGAAAAAACTAGTATTTTCCGAAAGAAAATTCTTATGTCTTATTAAATTTTAAAAAATGAGTCATTCTTTTTAAATTTTCTGATTATTCCCGAAAATCGTAATTTAGACCGATTGGCGAAGTGGGATACCCTGTAAGATATACAATATTCTGCATCACATGCTGTGTATTAAATTGTCATTTCGCATTTGCCATATATTTGATTTTAACCACCTCAGCGCAAATGTTATTTGCAACCGCTATACCTCAATATTCTTTGAAGCTGTTATACTACAACTCTCCTTTATAAAAAGAACCGTCAAGAATACTGGTTTCTAAACATTTACTATCAGTAAAAGACTATTTAGTATATACCCAGACACATCTATCTGTCTGTCTGTCTGTTTGAATATCTGATCATAACTCATGAACCCCTTGACGGATTCGCCTTAAATGTTTATTAGTGAACTTGGCAGAGCTACGGAAATGTTCTTAGTTGAGTTGGTTGGCTTTTTAAGAAAAGTTTAAGATTTCTTGGCAAAAGAGAGTATTAGCCAAGATTCAAACTATTTCTCGTTCTTCTTTCAAAATCTAGATGTTTGCGGATTTATGACATCTTATTTTGGATTTATCACATCTTGTTTCATCTATATCTATATATATAAAATTGTATTCTCTCTTTGTCTGTTTGTTTGTTTGTCAGATCATAACTCAGGAACCCCTGGACCGTTTTGCCTCAAATTTTGATTGGAGAACTCGGGAGATCCACGGGAATGTTTTAAGCTTGGTTTTAAGATTCTAAGTAGAGTGGGTCGACTTTAGAAGCCAAAAAAGTTCGGGTAAACGGCGGGAGTAACTTTTAGTAACTTGGGCAGTGCAGCGCTGGGTTCCCAAGCTAGTTTATATATAAAGTTGTAATATCTGATTGTCTGTCTGTCTGTTTGTTTTTCCTATCATAACTCAGGAACCACTTGGCCGATTTGCCTCAAATTTGATTCCACATGTGGAGAACCACGGAAATGTTCTTAGCTTGGTTTTGAGATTCTTAATCGACTTTTATCGGGAAAAATAGCTAAACTGGTTATTTACGACCACGTGCGGGTAAACAGCGGTAGTTTAGTAAGTGACGAATATAATAACTCCGGTATTTCAGGTGATCACCTCTAGCCCGAGTAACATGGTTCCTATTCCTGACGGGTGTAATGAGCACTGTAAAGAGCTAATTGCTGCTGTTCCTGCAGATACAGAGATACTTGCCATGGATACAGTTGGAGACGTGGTTCTCATCGGAACTACTAAGGTATTTACCAAAAATTCAGTAAATCTTTTTAAAATTCAGTAAATCTATTTAAAATTCAGAAATAATGACAAAAATATAGAAAATCTACATAAATTTAGGATAATTAATGATTATTTAGAAAAGTGACAAAAAATCAGAAGATATAACAAAATTCAGTAATATTACAAATGTTTAGAAAATATCAACAAAAATTCAGAAAATATAACAAAAATTCAGTATATTGGGCAAAATGTACGGATTGTACGGATTTTTAACCAAAAAATTGTACGGAATGTACTGATAATGTTTCAAATTGTAAGGATTTATATATAGGTTTTTACCCGGTAAATATTATTTTTTTTTCAATTTAAGTTTTTCTTGAAAATTTTCATTAAAAAAAGTCGTTCAAAATGAAGTTTAACTAATCATCTTCATTTTGAATTATATTAGGTTGATTGTTGTTTCAATTAACAATGAAAATTCATTCTTTCATCTTTTCGAGAATATGTTCCAAAAGTGTTCATTCCAGAATATATTACGAAAATACATTGTGTCCCACAAAAAAAACTTTGCAGTAGGGGTATTTGGTACTGAGGGAACAATCAAGGTCTCATTGAAACGCTTAATATTTAAGATATTTCACGGTGTAAATTTATAAAAAATTATTATCGATTATCCAAAATGTTGGCTTAAAAAGAAACCTCAGATTTTCACCTTACTTTTTTTTAAATCAAGAAAATCTGTCAATATTGTCACAATTTAAGAACAATTGAAAATTAAATGTGAAAAATTAAAAACTTAAACACCGGGCAATCTCTGATACTCAAAGAAGTTATTGTAACATAAGAAGTGTGAGGCTCAGAAAGAAGTGCGCAAACGCTAAGAAAAGAATTATTTAAAATGCAGTCATTTCTTGAATATGATTTTTTTCTTTGTCTAAAAGATATAACTGCTTAAATTCAGATATAACTGAAATTAATAAATTAGCCGTAAAAAAGTATTAAGAGTCGGACTTAAAAAATATTTTAACCAACCAAATCTGGTTTTCTTGTCATGTTATACACGTCCTATTAAACATGGAAATTAAGAAGTCTACATCATTTACGTGTACATGTTTTAAGCTTTCCGAAATGTGGTCTGCCTTCGTTGAATCTTTATTCTTTACAATTCAAAATCAAAGACTTTCTTAAAGTCGTCACTTAATTCCCATGTTTACTGGGAACACTGTAGACGTTGATTGTTGATAAAGTTCAAAAGATTTCACAAAAATCATCCCACCAATAAAAAGTATTTTTTGTATCGTGTTTTTTTTTATCCGGCATCATCTTTATCATCTGTACACTGCACAGTGCAGTCATTTTTGTTTCAGATAAATTTTAAAGCAATGTAAGGTTAGCCTTTGCTTACATACAAACACAAAGGAAGATACATGATAATAGAAATGAGAAATTATATTTTTTTTAGCTTTGATGGTTTTTTAATTTTGTACGGATTTTTTTCTGAAATGTACAGATTGTGCGGATTTTTATGTACGGATTGTACGGATTTTTTTCTAAAATTTTTGAACGGATTTTTCTGTGAGTTTTGACTACCCTGTATAACAAAATTCTGCAAATAAAACAAAAATTCAGTTTATATTAAAAAAATTCAGGAAAAATTAACAAAAATTCTGTAAATGGAAAATATAAAATATAACAAAAGCTCCGAAAATATTACTAAAATTTAGTAAATCTAACAAAAATTCTGAAAATATAACAACAATTCAGAAAATATAACAACAATTCAGAAAATATGTAAAAAAAATTAGAAAATGTACACTTTCTATTAAACTGTAAACTAAAAAATAAATCAAATTTAATAAGACGTTAATCAGAGATTTAAATATTTTAGGGATTGCTAATCAGGGATTTGAGTAACGAGGTGGGAGAGCTGAGAAGTATTGAAGGAGTGGATGTTCCAGTTCATAGGATTAAATACATCAAGTCTATTCAGGTTAGTTAGAGAATTAAGATTTTAAGTACCTGCCATGCTTCGGAGCTGAGAACTTTTAAAGGACTAAATTTCGAATGCATATAAACCTTTCTCTCTCATTGTACAAAACGTTAGAGATTTCACGCCTGATACAATGAATTAGGCTTAATCCTTCCACTAAAAAGATGATAAACTCTTATGGTTCTTAAAAATTACTTTCTCAAGAAAGACGAATACAATTTCACCTTGTTGTTTTGACGCTACTCCTAGAATTTTTTGTAACTAATAGGGGTTCTCTGTGTATCCTTCTTGGTATATTTATTCTTATGTACTGTAGAGCGTACTGCTTGCTACGGGTTCGGACGGATCTACTGGAAGTCAACTGGTGATGGTATGCGCCCGGGCGGTACAGGCCGGCAGTACGGTACACCCAGAACCGGTTCCTGAGATCTCACACTGCCATATCTTTGCCGCAAATGAGAACAGTAAAGGGTAAGTTAAGGATGTACCACGTTATAATTATTTTACAGTTATTTTCCAAATATAGATTTTGTTGCCCAAAAATAATATATTCAACCAACTCCGTGATTAAAAAAGGAAAACAATCCTTTTTAACTGAAAGTAACAGTTTTTTTTCTGAGGGGTTGGGAAATATTGTTTTAAGAAAACTCAAACCCACTTTTTATATTAAATTGAAAATAACCGACTTAGTTAGAAGAAAAATGTTGTCATTCGTTTTTGTCACTTTTGATGAATTAATTAAGGGTTTGTTATCAAAAACTTGATCTATCTATTTGTTAGGCATGTGTACCTGTGTGCAGCTAATAAACACCAAGTTTCTATTTTTGAGTGGAGTCCAAAGCGAGGTAACAGAACAGGATCTTTTTATCAGATTTCTTATTTCATTGCTTAAGTTAAATTTTCCAATTTATTTTCATGCGGTGTCTGAATCCAAAGTTAGATAAATTTGTATCAATCAGTTTGAATTTTTATGCATTTTATAAAAAAATTTCTTTGACATAAGATTTGCATCAGTAAATTTTCAACCGTTTCCTCTTTATTCATTTTTTATTCAAAGCAAACTGCTGGGGGTATTCTGGCCCCCAAACAAGTCACATCCATTAGTACTTCCTCTAAACGATACGTTTGCAACCACGCTTGTGGTTGTCTGTTAGTAAATTTCCTAGAACATGTTCTATTACTTAACCCTGGATGTTAGCGCACCGGGTGTAGGGATTCCGGCAACCTTTATTTAACACTGCTTTAATTTCTGTGTATTCCATTAAAACAAGCCGGAGTATAAAGGCCTGGTGGTTAATATTATCATTAGTATTTCCATTTTAATTACTATTATTTTCAATACTAATATCATTTTCAATATTATTATCATTTTTACTTTCATTATCATTTTAATTGTAGTTCTAATTATATTATCCTTATTATCATAATAATATTTCAGCTGGTTTTGTAATCCGGAATAAGTTTTCTACAGACAAGTATACAGGATGTATTTACTTCACTGAGCATTCAGTTCTTGTCGGGACTACCAAGGTACATTTGCTGATTTTCATGTCGCATTGTCATTTCCATTTGATGTTATTTTTAATGTTATTGACGATTGTTGTTGTTATTTTCATTGGTGTTGTCATTTTCTTGGTTGTTATTGTTATTTTTATCGTCATTGTCATTGTTATTGTCATTGTTATTGTCATTGTCATTGTCAATATTATTGTCATTTTTATTGTCATTGTCATTGTCATTGTCATTGTCATTGTCATTGTCATTGTCATTTTTATTGTTATTGTCATTTTCGGTATCGCATTGTTATTGTTATTGTCTTTTTTATTGTTGTTGCTTTGTTGTTATTGTTATTATCATTGTCGTATAGTCATTGTAATTTTTATTGTTATTGTTATTATTGTTATTGAACTATTATTATTTTTTAGCGGGATGGGGGGGGGGGGAATTATGTTTGAAAAATCTTCTTAAGTAATTTTGACGTAATGCTTTAGTCCCCTAAAGGAGTTACAATGGTTAAACATAAAAAATCTGCATTAGAAGTTTCTTTTTATTCTTCTAATAGTAAAATAAGGCAGATTTAATGCATATACGACTCAATGCTATTTTAAAGATGGGTTCCCAGTTTGTATTCATGGCATTTCATTTTTAATTTTTGATGTAGATTTTGGTATTTGATAATAATATTTACAAAAATAGAAACTTGCTGTTTTGAATAAAATAATGAATTCAATAGTTGAATAATATTTTTCCAATTTAGTTTTACGAGATTGATTTAAAGAACTTCTCGGCTGAAGAGTTCTTGGATACATGTGATCCAGGGATCAAAAGGTGATTATTTAATCCTAGCTAAAGTGCCCATGTAATTGAAAAAACGATTTTTGAAGAAAAAATTCTATTTTACCCATAGGTTACCTCTAAAAAAATTAAGCCAATTCGGTCCAGCTGTTTTGCCAACTTTAGCCGACATATGAATATATACATACACAAATATATATATAATATATATGAGTTAACAGATTTATTTTATAGAAAAGATTAATTAGACATCAATCATCAGAGAATTGAGGAATTGAGTTTTTGTCACTCAAATTGTCTAATTCCCATATCTTTACAATCTGATGAATTATTTGGTCGTACAGAATTCATATTTAGAATATCAATGGTCTACAACATTGGGTTGCAAAGATAAAGAGATCCAAAACTTTGAGGTTCGAACAAGAATCATTTCCTTTTGAGAAGTTGTTAAACCTTTATTATTTTATTATTTGATGATACAATGACATATTGTATTTTTATTAATTTTTATATGGAGAAGGTATTTTCAAAACATTATAGAAGATATTTGCTCATTGTCTTTTTTAATAATTAACTACAGTGATGACTAAAAAACTGTAGAATAGGAAGACGACAGTAAAGCAATAATTAGGTCTTTTAAAGCAAAAAGTTATCAGTGAGACTGTTAACACTGCACAATTCGTGTGTATCATGTTCAATGGACTATTAAAAGTATTTAAAAAATTAAGAACTTGAGTCTGAAAGTCGTCTTCATATTACAAATTTTTTGATTCTCACTGTAACCAAAAGTTGATTTAATCACATTTTACTAAGATAACCATTGTATTTAAGGACTTAAAAACAATTAAAATGATAGGTTCTCTCAGACTTTTTTAAAATATTCATTAGCCAAAAAGTTGATCAAAGATCTTAACTAAAAATCGCATTATAACAAGTTAACGGGACTGTTAAGGTGAAAGAAAATGAATGAAATATAACTTTAACACAGTTTTGTATCAATTTCTCAAGACAGGAATATCAGATAGAACTAATATTGATATCTCCTAAAATTTTAAGGCTTCATTTTACCTTAACAGTCTCTTTAACCATTGATTTCCAGGACTTTAAAGAGCGCAGAGTTTGAAGGCTCTGAACCGTGTGATGTTCTTCCCATTTTAATCCGTGAAGCTGAACCCGAATATATCCTGTGTTTCACAAGGTAGGACTAGTGTGAAAACTTATTCTTCCCGGCCCCTCCCACTATTTTATTCCGTGGATCTGATTCCGAATATTTTCTGTGTTTCACAAGATAGGATTAGTGGGAAAACTTATTCAGTCCCTNTTTTCAAATCCGAGGAGCAGACCCCGAATATATTCTTTGCTTCACAAAGTAGGATGTGGTGGAAGAAAATTTTTCATTAAACCCCCCTCTCCTTTTTTTTGATCTGATCTGATCTGATCTGATCTGATCTGATCTAGGCACCTGCTGTTTGTTGACGGATATGGACAGCAGACTAGAGAACCAATGCTATTCTCAAAACTACCCATGGAGTCAACCCTCATAGGAAGGTGAGCAAACAAAAAATAGTTAAATTTAAAAAATGTTTAATTTTATTTATCCGTTTTTAGTAAATAAGTTTTTAGTACTTGTAGCTAGGATTTTAAAATAATTTTAAAAATGTGATTCTTTTAGTAGATTCTTGTTAACGAACCATCCTGTAGAATAGTTCAAAAATGCTTTTGATCTTGTATCTGAGCAACAAAAATAAAACTTTTAACATTAAATTCCTTTTTTTTTAAATAATAATGCACTTTCAGGCTTCAGCTTACTTACCCGTCACAAAGAGATTTTATAAGGTTTCCTAAATAAATTTTTGAAAAGGTTTGAAAAAGTTTTATGTTTCTCAAAGGGATAAAAAAATTATTCTTTGAAAAAACTTACTTGATGTATGTTTAGTGTACTGGCAACTAGTTTCAGTGATAGAATTCAGCTGATTACTTTTGATCTAGAGAATACTGAAAACTCGACAACAACACTGGTAAATATTAATTAAAGGGACTGTACGCTTTATTTAAAGTGAGTCCTTTAAACCTGATAAAGAATTAATGAGATATTTCTATTTCAACTGTGAATTATTTTAAAAAGATTCTTACGAAAGACATTTGAAGCAAATATTCATAAATTAACACTTAATAAATAAATGTTTCAAGGTTACCTTTGTGAATTGAACATGCCACTTATCTTGAAATTATATCCACGGTTCCATTAAACTTTACAGTTAAAAAAGAAAATAAGAAAAGGACGCTCTTATCTTTTTAAATTATGAAATCTCAAGTTTTCATTATAGTGAAATTAATTGATTTAATTTCAATATTTCTTTTTATAATTGTTTTTTGCTTCACGTTTTCTTTTGATGTTAGGTCGAGGTGTTCAGTGCAATGCCGCACTTGGTTGGATCAGAGAAGAACAAACTGTACTACACAACCCCAGGTATAGGAATCATTTTTATGCTTTTGGGGAAAATTCAAAATTTAACATTAACAGTTTTGTTCATCCTTGATACTTTTTCATCCCAAAATTTAATTATTTTTAATTAAACCCTTAAAAAAACTTTTCCCTTTTATTGTAATTCATGTTAAATTAAAACCGTTCCTGTCGTGGGGGTTGTTTATTAAGAAATCGAACTAGTAATTAAGAAAAACTAAAAATGTTCACATTTCTTTTGACGGGTTGTTTGCAAATAATTTGCAAAAATTTCTTTGCGAAACTTGTGAAATCCGTTTTCTTGTGTCATAGACTTTCCAAAAAGCTAAAAGTTATCAAAATCTGACAACTGAAAGTGGGTCAAAACGAAGGTTTAGTTAGTTACAGGAAAAAGTAGTGATTCAGGCAGTGTGCCTGAAGACTCAGGCAGTTAGTATAAAAGCCCGGTTTTAGGCCTAAAGGGAAGGCTTTGGGTATTTAGCAAAAGTCAGAAAACTTCAACAGCCTCAGACCAAAACTTTTTGAGTTATGTTAAAAAAAAAAACCTACTAGGTGGTCTAATTGACCCCCCCCCCCTCACCAGCAGGAATATGCCAGGGTTAAACTGGATTTGGATCTGCATCAATGTAAAAGGACTGTTGTCATTGAGTTGTTGTTGTCGTTCATGTAGTAGTTATTGTTCATGTAGTTGTTATTGTTCATGTAGTTGTTATTGTTCATGTAGTTGTTATTGTTCATGTAGTTGTTATTGTTCATGTAGTTGTTATTGTTCATGTAGTTGTTATTGTTCATGTAGTTGTTATTGTTTATGTAGTTGTTATTGTTCATGTAATTGTAGTTGTTGTTGTCATTGTTATTTTCGTTATCATTATTAATTTTGTGAATATTTCAGGGGATGCAGCCTACCATCTCGTGGCTCTTGATGTGACTAAATTGAAGCAGGAAGTGTAAATCCAACTATCATTATTATTATTATTATTATACAATTATTAAATATATGCCATCCGAGTTTTAGATTGAGTTTATATATCAACCAAAAGACAGTGTTACGGGGGTCCATACGGAAAATCAATTTTTTTTCGGATGCAAAATTAAGTTTGAAAGTTAAAAAAAGGGTTTGTCCCAAAAAAATCGGGGAGTAAGGAGTCGGATTTGGAAACATGAAACCATTTTTAATATTAATGCAATAGTTTTATAGTTAAATTACCATAATGTACATACTTTCTATATGTCGTAGGCTTTTGATAAATGATTCAGAATGGACACCGTTATACAAAATGATTTCGATCTCAAATATAAGATATTAAAATGTTTTAGAATAAGAATTTTGGTATTGTATATATTTTAGTTGTGACTCGTCAGTACAGGCAACGTAATTTTTTTGTTTTAATTTAACAATTGCTATGAACACCCCTCCAATCTTATAAACCTTTGAAATGATGAACTATTCTAAACTTTCTAGAGCAATTCTTCGATTTGTCACTTATTACTAAAATCTGTCGGAATTAAATGAAATTTGTATTTACGTATTATGTAAGTCGTTAAAACAAAATTGAATTTTAACTATGTGAGTATGTATTTTAAAGTTTAAGTTAAGAAATAAAAACCTTTTAAAAACGACTTTTTATGTTTGTCTTTTATTACATTCCGCATTGACAAGACGAAAACTCAAGTCCAATTAAAAAAGCTAAAATTTGTAATTAATCAAAATTTATTCAGTTTTGAAAATACACCAACGAAAATAGTAAGATATGTGAATTTTTAATAATAAACAAATATGTATTGTGCCAAGGAAAGCAACATTTTAAATCTAAAGAGAAGGTGAAAGGAAAACGACATTGTGACTCCGTAGCCCCTTTAGTTTTTTTTATGCAACAATAAGAAAAAAGCAAATTTATTTGGGAACAAACTAGAAATAAAATACAAGAGTAAAATAGAACTTAAAATGTATTCTCAATCATTTATTTTATTGTTTGATATTGACCCTAACCAGTCATTAATTACTGCACGGATTAGGGTTTCCAAATTTTCGTTCAATTTCTTTCGCGAAAATTTCGTTCAGGCAACGAAAAGTGAACGAAAACGAAAATCTTCGTTCATGTTCGCGAAAACTTTCGATCGTCCAAACTCGTTTTTTTTGCAAAAAGTTTCATCAACCCATTTTTGCGAAATTTAAACCTTATTTACATAATTTACACATACTAACAATCTAGATAATTCGTCTGCATATTAAATTAGCTTTTACCAACGCGGTTATAATGTATTAGAGTGATGATGTACGCTAATCCTTTACTATCGAAATCAAAGAAGGTTTAAGTCGTCTCTCAATTCCCATGTTTATTGGAACTCCCTGTATAATAAATGCTTTGTCTGCAGGAGAACTATGAATGTTTAAAAGAGCTAAACAAATTCTGTACTGCGTTCTCTGTTACTAATTCTTTCTGGGTGACCCTGTGTATACATTTACTAGCATGGAAACCCACCTTTGCCTAAGGTTTTCCCAATTAAAGTCAACAAAGTGAATTTGAAATTTAAAAATTTTGCTACAAAATTTCAAATTTATAACATTTATTCAAGCTTAAATTTGCCCAGAAATTTGTCTCAATAAACATGAAAAGAAACTCTTTCCAAAAATTTAAAATCCCTATATCTTTACAACATGATGATGTATAAACCTTTAATATTTCCAATTTAGACTATTTGATCTCACAGATTTCAAATTTCAAAAAATTAAAGGTCTTCGACATCTCAATACAAAAATATAGATATTTAAAAAATGAGAGTTTGTGGCAAGAACTCAGTTTCTTTAGAAATGAAGAATAGATCGTCTTTGATATTTGACTGTTCATTTATCTAAGATTGTATTGCAAAAATACATAATAAAGTAAGTGTACATAGCTGTGTGCATGTGGTATAAAAATAATTGGTTTGAAATTTATTTTGACAGTGTCAACCAGAAAACAATGAAATAGGAATTATAACAATATGAAATTACAAAGATTTACATCATAATCAGGTCGCAAAGATAGGGATTGGAGTTTGTTGCAAAGACTCGAATGCTTTGCTAAATTATAGAATTAGGTTTTAATCAAATATTTCAAAACGTTACTTTATAGATATCAAATTCTAGAAAAGCAATTAGCATATCCATAATGTAAAGTATGATTATATATATGTGAATAATCCTATTTCAATCAAGGATAATTCTTCCATAAGATTTTATTGGTCGGTTCAAGCGTTGTCCTGGTATAACTAGATTATCATGACTTTAAACTTCACATACATATTGTACTTCTTAGATACATCATCTGTGGGTACTATCTGTCTTGCACACATAATCTCCAATTCTTGATGGCTGATATCCAGAGTGTAAAACTGGTTTCTAGCATTCTCATGATGTATCCCACTTGGACATACTCTTGCAGTTTGTGTTCTTATAATATTCTTAGTTTCTCCGTACACTTCCAGGCGAGCAATATATTGATGTTCAGATATATTGTCTTGGTTATGTTGAATTATATAACAGAGAAAACTGAGGCCAACAGACTTTAACTGTAGTATAAAGAAGTGCTGGGACTCCTTTAGCTTGTATACTAGAGGTTGATGAGATGCCTTGAAGTTCGGTTTATACCAGCTGTTCTCATATTCCGTGTTAAGGATCATATTTCTCTGGTCCTCACTATAAGATAAGTGTTCACAACTAAACAGGTGCTGGGACATCTCCTCTAGTCTGATCTTATCACAATATCTACTTGGTAACATCATACTATAAGGAAATAATATACTGGAAGCTACCGTCCGTTCTCGGGGCAAGTTTAGACGTTTTGAAGGACAAACTGGATCCCTAACTTTAAACTCCATACTTTTTAGAAGTGATCTGGTAAAACCTAGAGTTTCTTCTGTTTTCTTGATAAACTTTAAAAACTAGATATTTATTTACGTATCATTATAGTTTACAGGATTGTTAATATGAATTTAACACAAAACTTTCTTACGACATTTTCTATGTAAATACAATTATAAATCTATAAGTTCGAGATTTAATTTTAACAGATACATTTATTTTCGTTTTTTCATGTCTGAATTGCTGGTAAGTTTGTAAAAGTGTTACCTATTCTTATGATAAGCAACCTTTTATAAAATTGCTGATATGAATCGCAATTTGACTATTTTTTAATGTTTTTAAGATAAATAAACGAAGGAAGACAATAAATCATATAGTTTCTGATGAGTTTTGGATAAAAGTTTTTACAAAGAAGATTCCAGTAGCTTTGGCTCGCCCAAAAGCAAATAATGCAGGATTCAAAGGTTAAACAAAACAGTTTTGAGGCCTCTATTCTGTTCTAATAGTTTAATCAATAAGCCCTGCATTAAAGGCTGCCACGCATTTTATGGCGGACAAAGTATTTCTGACTAAGTTTTAATGTTTCTTTGTTATGAACTAAATTTCTATATTTCTCTTTTTGTTCTCAAGTATATACTATTCAAATGTTTAATCCGTAAGGTTTGAACTTTTAAATGGGTAACTTTAATCCTACTCAGAGATTGTTCCTCTCCACTTTAAGAGTATTCCAATCCTTCTTAACTACTATATATATATATTATTAACACTGATGTTTTCGTTTAGCTATGTATTTCAGTCCAAGGGAAAAATTTTGACAAAATTAATCATATAAATGATAAGTAAAAACGATAATATAATTACTAATATATAGAACTTAATATATAACGATATTTGAATAAAAGTATAAACAATCTGATTTTACAAAATATATATATATCTATCTTTACTTAATACTATTGGATTTCAACCTCTATGAATCAGTTTAGGGCGAATAGATAAATGCGAATTACGGATATTGACAAAACAAATATTTACAAATAAAATGATTTATTACCTAGATTTTCCAATTTGTTTCTCCAAAGATACACTTCAAAATCACTGGGTCATTTTACGATAAATACAGATCTGAGAGCAAAGATCTAGGATTCAAATCCAACTAACTAACCCGAGTTCCTGGCTTTTTATAGTAAACCATGATAGATTGTTCTAGAACATTCTCGAAGCTGTTGCGCTTGTTTTTTGGCGCTGCTTGATAATTTATTCTAGAACTTTCTTGAGAAAAAGTTCTCTGACTCACGTATTCTTTGCGTGCATCTTTTCTTCTAGCTGGTTCTAGAAGTTTTAGATGTTTCTACGATCTTTTACCCAGGGTTGTTTAACCTTGAATCTCGATAATTGATGATGGGTATACAGGCTAGATAGTTCCCAGATTCAAGGCCAATTATATCTTTATCATCAATTATTAATCATATAGAGAAACATAGTTAGAATTAAAACTTGTGGTTATCCAAGTATTGATTCACGTATTTTAAAGGAGAGAAAACTGATACAATCTTGTCTAGTTGGTTGGCCTGAATCTAAAAACAGTACTGTCAACAAAAGTACTTTGAAGGGGGGGGGGCACACGCATATGTGCCCCCCTACCTAGCTATGGGTCTAGAATAAAATATGTATTTTGGTTAGTTTATATATAACAAATGTTGTCAAATTAAAGAAAAGTTTGAATCACATATTAGATACAATTATATTTCTTAAAGGCATAGCATATGTCTGTAATTTGCATGTGTCGTCATGGGATAAAAAATATGGACGATCTCACGCAAATATTTATCAGTAAGGAATTGAGTCTTTGCCACAAACTCTGCTTTTCTAAACCCTATATCTTTGGATTCCCATGTCGTAGACCTTAAATATTTCAATCTATGAATACTGTTAGATCAAATAATATAAGCTTGAAGTATCAAAGATTTACGACATTGGGTTCTAAAGAAATAGGGATTATAGATTCAGAGTTTGTGGCAAAGACTCAATTCCTTTGCCCACAACATCTAAGAGAAATTAATCAAAAAGTCCTCTGTACTTAACCTATCAAGCATTACTGATGTTTACCTTAATGCAAAGCGAAGAAATAAAAAAAATTGAAAAATGTATTTTTTAAAATTGTATTCGTGGTACTAGTATAAGCTCAACATAAGGAAACTAAAAAGACTAAGGGACTTTGGCGTTATGTTATTTAAAATGGCTGTCCATTCAAACTGTTATTTACACGATTTACAACATTCAGCCTAAACTAAGCTTTAGGTACGTACTGTAGTAAAGTGCTGTACACTGCTCGAAGAAAAAGCAGGTTTAAGTAGAGATTGCATTAAACTATGTACTGAAGGAGGAATGAGGGGACAGCTTCCTACGCGATTCTTAAATTTCTAAATCTACATATTTCTGCCATTTTTATTATTCACCTTTTCAATA